GACAACAATGATGGTACACTTAACTTAATATTTTGTTGCACAACCTTTCAAGGAAATCACTGCAATCAAATGATTCCTACAACTGTCAATGAGACTTCTGCACCTCTAAGCAGGTATTTTGGCCCACTCCTCATGAGCAAACTGCTCCAGTTGTCTCAGGTTTGAAGCCTTTTCCAGATGGTATGTTTCAGCTCTTTCCAAAGATGCTCAGTCGGATTCAGGTCTGGGTCCATAGAAGGTCTCTTTAGAACAGTCCCATGGATGTTAAATTTCTGAGTAATATGTGCAACTGTAGTCGGAGGAACATCAAGCTGCTTGGAGATGGTCTTATAACCTTTACCTTTATCGTGCTTGTCTATAATTTTCTTTCTAATCTCCTGAGACAACTCTTTCCTTTGCTTCTGCTGGTCCATGTTGAGTGTGATACACACCATGTCACCAAACAGCACAGTGACTACCTGTAGCTCTATATACAGGCCCGTTGATTACAAGAATGTAATCAAGTGGACACACCATCATTTAACATGTCCCTTTATTTGGTCTCATTATCATCAGTTTTGTCCAGGGCTGTTTCATGAGTTTATTTTTTAACTTAATTCTGTTGAAGCATGTTTGAAAAGCAATGTTTGACTTTCATTTATTTATTTTCATAGAAATGTTATTCATGATCACCTTTGTCAGATTCAAGTTATTTCTGTGACCATTGTGGGGGGGTTTTCATAACAGAAGGATACCAACATTTTTGTTCATGAGTGTTTGTGTCTACCATGTCAGTGCCCCAGAAATGATGAGTCCTTGTTTCACTGAGTACAGCTAAAACAAATTGACTACACTCCTCAACAGCCAAAAAATTGTCTGGGGTTTTTCAACTCTTTTAGGGTAATTTTGATGGGTTGAATACAAAAATCATATTGGTTTTGCTCAATCTAATTCATAAAACTGGCTGATCATTGTTTTATCTAATGCTTCACACATTTAGATATGTTTGAGGAAGTCAGGATTCACTTGGGAGCAATGTATTGATTCAGGGAAGATTTTTAAACAATATCTAATGGAAATGGTAAGAATCATGTTTGACATATTATGACAACTTGCTCAAGCATGTTACATGTTAAGTGTCAAGACTTTGGGTTTTGGGTTGGGATTTTTTTTTTTTCTTTCTGTTTAATCAGTTGTTTTTTAGTTCACTTTAGTTTAGCCTTTTATGTTTGCTCTATCTCCATTATCTGATGTTACTCATTTTGTAGATTTCTCTTGTTCTTGTTTTCCTTATTTCAGTCTTTTGTAGTGTTTCTAGTCAAGTTTATTTCTTTGTCTGGTATTTCTTAGTCATTCTAGTTTGAGTACTGTGTGTTCTTTATCAGTTCAGTTTTGTTTCTCCTTATGTACTTGTCTCGTTAATTTATTATGTTTCTTTAGTGTTAGGATTATTTTCTGCTCCCCTGTGTTCTCTCTGGCTCTATTCATTACTTCAGGTTCATTCATTACTCACTAGTGACATCTGCTGCTGAAACTGTAACAGCCTTGTCACTCAGATAATGCTTCAAAAAAATTTGTAAATGCAATATTGTCACCAAGTTTTTGTCAAGCTCATCTTTAGTAACAGGAGAGTCAATTAAATCTTATTTAACTGTAATCTTTTTTACTTATAATAATATGTAGCCAAACTAATCGATAGATGCAAAAGACTGATATATCTTTGCTGATCAAACTACAAATAACAGTGGCAACCAGAATCAGAACTCAGTTGAGGGCCTTTTAAAAATTGATCCAAACTGAATAACCAATGCCACAGTCCTAGAAATATCATGTTTTCATTTGACTAAAATATGACTGTGTGTATTTTTCTTAATTCTCATGTCAGACCATATGTCAATCCATCTCAAATCTGATTCTGCTAGAGGCTTCGTCCTGTCGAAAGCCAGTCATGCTCATTCAGAATAAGGCCAAAGTGTGATCTGATCTAAATCTGAACATGGACTCAAAATAGTGACCAGATTTTTTTAATCTATACTTAACATTTCAGAATTTTTAAAAACATACATTGGCAATTTTGGGAGAGCCAAAGTGTCAGCTTTTAGGAACAGACAAATTCTTGTAGAATCTGGAAAAAATATATATTTTCCAAGCACACGGCCCTGGGTCTAAATAATTTCAAAATGTAAAAAATCTTAAAAAAAAAAAAGATCTTAAAAAAAAAAAAGCCTAAACACCTGAGTCAAATTTTACAGACATTGAAGTGGCACTAAGCATGTTCTGCAGGCACTGCATATCCACCCCTGGAAAAAAAATAATTTAGAAAAAACTTTCATACTTCCTACATTCCCAAAACAAAAGCAGCTATAGCCAACCGTCACACATTAGAAAAGCCATATTTACAAGTCTTTGATTAATGCTGGAACATTTTGTAAACTGATGTTTATATACTTAATAATATAGAATCAGCAGCTGTGCAGAAAAACAATCTCAATTCAAGTTCAATTCAGCTTCCCAAGACTACAAAAAAAAAAAAAAAATCAATAAAACACTGATATACTCGATTCAAATAAAAAATATACTCCTGCAATATTACGTTTCCTGTTTCACTGTTTTTAAAGGAACAGTGAAACACTTAAAT